ACGATTTTCTTATGTGATATCAAATTGGATCATAAAGCTTCGGAAACTGCGTAATATCAACCAAAGAACGTATAGTTTAGCATTGGTTCCACAAATTCCGTAGCGAAAGCTTATAGAAGATGAAGCGGTTCGTAAAAGGTCTGATTAATTAATGATTAATTAAGAGCCATTATCAATGCGGATTCATTGAAAACCACTAGAGAAGTTGCACAAATACTTAACATAGACCATTCATTGAGCTGAGATATTCATTATTTGAAGTTGAAGATTAAAACCCGCAATTATTTCTGCCCCAACCTAATAAAATGGTATAGAGTAATAAGAGAAACAGAAAACTAGAAAAGTCAACTTCTTCATCATTCGTAACGTTGCCTGACAATTTCGCGGTGAATCGTTGTCGCGATGATTGCGATTCATAGCCGTGCGGCAGAAATACTATGGGAACGGTTCACACCGGCTTGCATAAAGCGGCGTGTAAACTGGATGTTACACAAACGGTCATCAACACTCGAGATATACCGCGGAAAGAAGATATAATTTCACGTTTATTTATATATATTATCCGAGCGAGCGATTAAAACTTCTCTCGTGGCGTGGAAGTAATTCGCTCGTTCGTCAACTTCGCAGATCGATCTGCATCTTAAGTATGATGCATCGTAACTAATTATATTGACGTTGGTGCACGGAGCGGAGCGCTTCCGGGTTGCCGCAACGGAATGTCGTCTCGCGGATCTCGGATCTTGCATCCGATATGCCTACGTGGACACATAGTGGATCCTTTCAAGCGCGGCTCGACCCGACTCGAGACCAACCAAGTGTCCGTCCTTCTCTCGGCCGATCTCGCTAAACGGAATAACAATATCTAGCTCTTCGACATCGATTTTCTCGAGCGCGTTCGTGCGCGATTCATAAGCGCGCGACCCGTCGTATGTAGAACGGCAATGCCTATTTGCTTCTAATAAATGCGCGTAACGTAATTCCTGACCGGTTTCCATTTCAAGTGTGTGCCGATCGTAATCTTTCGTTCAACGACCGCGCACTTTGTGAAATTCGTTGATACCGGTCGATCTTGAAACCGGGCGAGTCATCTTTAGGCGGTTTTACTGCGTGCACCGTTCGAGCTGGCGCGATGGAATGCAGCCCGCTCCGATCGGATGCATTAAGCGTACTTTGCGAGTCAGATCGAATGCGATTCTTTCGGCTCGCGAACGTGACAAAACGTGACCCGGTTTCCCTTATACGCGAATGCAGATTTCAAGTCGAAATGAAATGTTTCGAGAGTGTCGCATTCTTCAAAGAAACAAGGAGAATTAATTTTTACACGCATGTAAATTTATATCGTAAAATTTATATAATAAAGAAATACAAATTTTAGCAAAATGCAAAATGAGATATTGCAATGCTTTGCGTTTCAAGATCTTGCAAATATCTTATTCGGATCCGTTATTCGGTATTAATAATCCGATTGTAGTCTTTTTTAAACATGCATATCCGCGAATGTTCCACCGAGTTCTGAATAGCGAATAATTTTCTATAAGACTCCGAGATTAGCCCGAATAAAATGTTGCCTGGAATTTATGCGCATTAACATTTAATAGAAAGTATTCAGTATCAATATCTACTAATTGATCGAACGTCGAAAGCTTCCTCTCAGGGAGGTCAAGACTAATCATCGCCCTTTGCAATCGCAAATTGAAACGGGCGTCAGATTGCCTGGGAAAGGTCGATCTCCTTAAGAGCCGGTCGTTAATGCGCGTTCGGTTGAAATTATGGAATGCGCTTTTCGTTTGTGTATTTTTAAGTCGCATAATTGTGCGACGTAGGCAAACGAATCTTCCGAGCCGCTTCGTCCCGGACCGGGATTGCGATGAAGATCTGGAACGTGGGGAACGCACAGTGGCATGTTACATTAAGGATCGCTATTTTTCATTACTTATCTCTCAATACTCGAAGCGACGTAAAATCACAAAATCGATCTATCTTAAACATTTGTGCCGTCGACTTACTAATGGTTGAATAAATTCAAGTGGACAGATATCACGATACTCTGTCCCAAGGGAATATTGAAGGAAACCGTTTGCAACAACCATAAACTGCCCACGTGAGATCTGCCGAGACAGATCAGGACAGATTTCAGCTTTGAAAAGACTCTTGAAAGTGTTGCCTTAGAGAAAGAGCTATCGATGCCAATCCAGTTGAATTTGTATAGGTGTTGGCTGCGTGACATTTGTTATCTTTGGGTCACTATACTATACGCACTATACGGAGGCCCCGTGCTGGCGGCCGGCGGCACGGCTGGAATGCCGTCTTCTGCGATCGCGCACGTACATACAGGCGCACGTCAGTACGCAAGTATGCGTCAGAGATCGCCGTCTCTTCGATTGGAAGTGAACCAAGTGAAAGATCTCGAAAAGGAAGGCGATTAAGGGGGAATGGGACCTTGAGCGCGGTCAGCCACTGGAAGAGAGCTTCGGTGGCTGAAGACCGCGGGTCTTGGGACGCGGGGATCGCGCCATATTGTTGTGACTAGTAAGCTTTGCCGCGGACCCCCGATCGGCCATCCACCATCTGCCAGCTCGCCAATGGGCGCGTGTGCGCTGTTCGCGGCCGCGGCGCCGGATCGATCGTAAATGTCGCGAAACAATATAAGTTACATGATAATTAACGGAAGACTTGGCAATCGTCGAACTGCAGCGCTAAACAATAGACGCGTTCTATTCGTTTGCCTATTCTATCCCGGATGCGATCACATATCGCGCAACGCTGTGACGCTTGAATAAAGCGCCGCTATCAAATGCGTTGCAGTCGCGAGAAATCCGAATTCGCAAAAACTGCATAAAGCTAATCTCATTCAGCTTCACAAGAATTATGGCTTTAGCAAACTTGTTTCCTAATATGCAGCTTAAAATGTTATTACCTGCAAAGCCTTCCAGCATACCTATTATAGCGGCGCGAGATAAAAGATTCCCAAGTCGACGTAAAATGACGCAATGTATTTTCACGTACTTGGATTCGCGCGCGGCGAATAAACGGCGGGTGTAATGGATATCGTGAGAATTTTTACGACTTCATATTTAACGCGGGGGGGGAAAACGGACGTTCGTCCGTCGGCTTGTTGGAAAAATGACCGGTTTAAAACGTTGCCGCGGCACCCGGCAATCCGAAGGCGCCTGACCGTAAAGTTTGACGTTTATAATACGGACCCTCGCGCGGACGGCAGCTACGATTGTTCGTTAGCAATTTGCGCGAGCATCGTGCCGCCGACGCCGATGCCGCTCGCTGCCAGGCGATTCTCGAATTATTCTTAACGGTTTTGTTCTCACACCCACCTGGCCGGCGGCCGGGAATCCACATTCGAAGCGGAGGAACGCCGCGCCGGCCGCGCCGACCGTGCCGATTAGAGACCGCGTCGACGGAATTTCCTTATTTCCCCGCTTTTGCGCAGAGCGTAGAGCGCGCCCGGCTACGGTAAAGTTCTCGGGTGAAGATCCGCCGATACACTCCTTATCGTGCGATTCGCTTCAGGAATCGCGCCGTTCGCGTTGCAGAAGAGGAAAAAAAAGAATGAAAGAGGAAATGGACGCGGCAAAGACGCGCGCGATGTCGAAATCGCGCGGGAAGCAAAAGGACTTCGGTCATTAGAAAATTACACGTCGCTCCTAACATTATGCAGCGTCTAGCGTGATCGGTGCATTTCTGAAAAAGTACTGTGCAAATTAATTATTGTACGAACACTTATTATTTCTTATTGTCCAACCTTGTAATCCCTTCTATTATATACATTATCTTTTTCCTTTGGATTTTTTCCGATGGCTGTGTGTTCATTAAATTGAACAAAAGGACACGTGAAGTGTGCCAGAAATACTATATCGCGAATGCTGAATTGTTTCCGATAATATACCTCATCGAGCGTGTTCGATCATTCGCGAATTATTATCACCGGCTCGATTTCCGGTATTTCTATGGCGAGATTACTGTTTTTTCGACCGCGGCCAGAGAAGACGAGCATGTGATAACGTATCTTTTCTTTAAATAGTTTTCTGAAAGAGTATGTATTACGCAAATAGGTATCGTATTGAAGACAAGTGCTTTCGTGTTTACAGAAAATGGTAGAGAGTTTTCCTGACGTGGTGTTTGCGTAGAAATAAATTATAAGGGACATGAACCAACATGAACCTCCATAGGCAGAGAGAGAGAGAGAGAGAAAAAGAGAAAGAGAGAGAGAGAGCGCAGGTATCAAAAAGGTTCCGATTAAGATCTCGCGCATAATAACGCGGTTGCGAAGAGGAAACGCAAACATCTAGTCATCCGCGCGAAAATACCACAGAATGCACGTCGGTGAATAAGAATTTCTCCCGGCGCGAGGAAGGCGCGCCGCGCCGCGCAACACGCCTTTGTCTCGATTCGCGACCTGCCTCCGTTTTGAATGCATTCGCGCCCGCGCGCGAAACCGGAGAGCTGCATGGGCGCGTAACGCAAGGTGATTAATGCGTAACCTTTATAAAACTCGACGCGGTGTGACGTACTGACGTACCACCGCACCGGTAGCGTGGGCGTGTGCACCGGGTGTCCTCTGACGTTGCGCACTCGCAGCATTTTTCGGAGTTTTTTCCTTCTTTTTTTCCACCTAGTTCCCGCATATTTGGCGAGTCGAACGATCGGTGAACATTTGTCGCCGACCGACGCGACGCGACGGATCGGTCGCCGGAAAAGCGGAGACATTGATGACGCTATCGAAAGCAAAGTCAATTAATTAATTAGCGACTCAAGGTTGCTCCGGTTGGCGACGATGCAAATTTTTTTTCACGCAGTTAGCCTTAATGGGCGCAAATGCCTGATTTGTTGGCTTTTGCTATTAGCGAACGGATCTCTAATCGTTCTGTGCCGGCCTCGCATTCTTCCGTTAATTGGATAAATTGCGACTTTATTGATTCAAATCGTATTTTGAGGTT